TGTGTGTTCTTTCACATAAGTACATCAAGTTATGTGAATAATTTCACTGAACACTGCAGGCTGACACTCAGTTCCGCCTAATTTTTGATTTTTAACAAAAATATAACACTGTGCATTCTGCTAAGAATTGTAAAGCTGTAGATCAGTCAAGCTATGTCAGTTCATGACATTTCATTTTATGTTTGTCACGGAGAACTGCTAAAAAGGATGAAAGTCCAGTGAAACACGCTGAAATTTCAACATGTATACACACACACATATATATATATATAGATCTATATATATATAGATCTATATATATATATAGATCTATATACAGGTGTTGGTCATAAAATTAGAATATCATGAAAAAGTAGATTGATTTCAGTAATTCCATTTAAAAAGTGAAACTTGTATATTATATTCATACATTACATACAAACTCATATATTTCAGATGTTTATTTTGTTTAATTTTGATGATTACAAATGACAACAAATGAAAATCTCAAATTCATCATATCAGAAAATTAGAATATTACTGAAGACCAATAAAAACAAAGGATTTATAGAAATGTTGGCCAACTGAAAAGTATGAACATGAAAAGTATGAGCATGTACAGCACTCAGTATTTAGTTGGGCCTCCTTTGGCCTGTATTACTGCAGCAATGCGGCGTGGCATGGAGTCGATCAGTCTGTGGCACTGCTCAGGTGTTATGATAGCCCAGGTTGCTCTAATAGTGGCTTTTAGCTCTTCTGAATTGTTGGGTCTGGTGTATTGCATCTTCTTCTTCACAATACCCCATAGATTTTCTATGGGGTTAAGGTCAGGAGAGTTTGCTGGCCAATTAAGAACAGGGATACCATGGTCCTTCAACCAGGTACTGGTAGCTTTGGCACTGTGTGCAGGTGCCAAGTCCTGTTGGAAAATGAAATCTGCATCTCCAAAAAGTTGGTCAGCTGCAGGAAGCATGAAGTGCTCTAAAACTTCCTGGTATGTGGCTGCGTTGACCCTGGACCTCAGAAAACACAATGGACCAACACCAGCAGATGACATGGCACCCCAAACCATCACTGACTGTGGAAACTTTACACTGGACTTCAAGCAACGTGGATGAAGTGCCTCTCTTCTTTTCCTCCAGACTCTGGGACCTTGATTTCCAAAGGAAATGCAAAATTTACTTTCATCAGAGAACATGACTTTGGACCACTCACCAGCAGTCCAGTCCTGTTTCTCTTTAGCCCAGGCAAGACGCTTCTGACGCTGTCTGTGGTTCAAGAGTGGCTTGACACAAGGAATGCGACAGCAGAAACCCATGTCTTTCATACGTCTGTGTGTGGTGGTTCTTGAAGCACTCACTCCAGCTGCAGTCCACTCTTTGTGAATCTCCCCCACATTTTTGAAGGGGTTTTGTTTCACAATCCTCTCCAGGGTGCGGTTATCTCTCTTGCTTGTACACTTTTTTCGACCACATCTTTTCCTTCCCTTCGCCTCTCTATTAATGTGCTTGGACACTGAGCTCTGTGAACAGCCAGCCTCTTTAGCGATGACCTTTTGTGTCTTGCCCTCCTTGTGCAAGGTGTCGATGGTCGTCTTTTGGACAACTGTCAAGTCAGCAGTCTTCCCCATGATTGTGTAGCCTATAGAACTAGACTGAAAGACCATTTAAAGGCTTTTGCAGGTGGTTTGAGTTAATTAGCTGATTAGAGTGTGGCACCAGGGGCCATCAATTTTGAACCTTTTCACAATATTCTAATTTTCTGATATGATGAATTTGAGATTTTCATTTGTTGTCATTTGTAATCATCAAAATTAAACAAAATAAACATCTGAAATATATGAGTTTGTATGTAATGTATGAATATAATATACAAGTTTCACTTTTTAAATGGAATTACTGAAATCAATCTACTTTTTCATGATATTCTAATTTTATGACCAGCACCTGTATATATAGTGGCGGTGGGGGGTTCGAGGCAGTATCGCAGGGAAGAAACCCTCTTACTGCTGTGCACGGTGCTTCAGCACCACGGACAGCTACAGCGGATGGAGCTTACCTCGGAGCTCCGCGGGGCCCCCGGCGGACTAATGGGGTCAGGCCGCCCCCCCCTCACTAAATGGATGGAGACACGAGTCCGGAGATAATCTGTTTTTTGTTGTTGTTTTTTTTGGTTTTGTTTGTTTTTTATGCGCGTGCACGTTTTCCATTTGTCCCGCGCGCTTTAAATTGGCTGTTTATCAGTTTAATATCTATTACAGATCTTATGACTCTAGTTATAAGGCCTTAAACTTATAGAAAAAAAACTAATCCTGACTTTTTTATGTATTTTCTAAAAATGTGTAACTATGAACAAATGTTGACATTTTATAATGACCTCAAGTTTGGACCCTGAGATGGATTTTTTTGTTGTTTTTTCAACGTTGACGCAGCATCATTTATTCCATTTCCCGGCGTATTTATTGCCGAACATGGCCAAGCTGCGCTGAACCAACGCCGAAGAGAAAATGCAGGAACCAATAATCACTTCGCTCCTCGACGAAAATCAAAACCTATTGCATTTCTCATTACCCCCGTTAAATTGTCGAGGGAACTTTCAGGCGCGCGTTTATGAGACAATCAGTGTTTGAATAAGAAACATAGCTGACTGCCCCCCACCCCTCCCCTCCCGTGAGTGGGAGGCTGAACCCCCCTAAAATAATTCCCCGTTATCTGACTCACCCATCTCAAATGAAGTCTATAAGCCGGTGTGGGTCTATGCACAAGCCCGACGCCACATGTCTGTGTAAGATAGCATAACACCATTTAAAACTTCAAGGCGACTCACAATATACAGTGCAAAACACATGCTGCATATATATACAACCTCACGGTAGCAGATGAACATAATGGCAGCCGATTGGTAGGACTGGAGCAGATTTTTCATTTGTTTCTTGCCCAAAAATAAAAAATAAAAATTGCTCAGATGATTGCTCTGACTCTGGATGAGGAGGATCGTTTATGCTTGTTTTTCTTTTTACGTTTAGACCTTTTTTTTTCTCCCCTCCACAACAAATATGGAAATCTTTTAAGCAGCTGCCGGGTGACGCATGCGCATCTGAAATGACATGAAGCAGAAGGAGAGAGAAAGGAAGCGATGGAGAGGGCGTGAGAAAGAGACACATGAAGGTAAAATATGGGAATAATGGGAATGACAGAAGAAAGTAAAAAAAAAAAAAATAAATAGGGAAACATATTTGGTGCAAGATAAATTAAAAAAATATGTGATTTTGAAAGAATATTTAAAAAATACACTGATAAAATAGCTTAATTGGACTAAAACAATCAAATAAATCCAACATCTTCACACATTTTAACCAGCATTTCGGATTTAAAAAAAGAACTTAAGTTCACATTTAACCACGTCTGATAAAATGTTATTGATTAATAATATACTTGATTTGCTTATATAGTCTGTTGTATGCCTAAAGTAGCTTAAAAGATGTAATTTTATTTATGATTAAGGAAAAAGACACATGAAGCATTAACTATTTAAATTATAAAGATGCCATGTGGCTTTTCCCAGCAGCTAAGGTGGCTCTTTGCAGGAAAAAAAATACTTCAGCTTGCTCTCATGTATGCATTAAGTGTTTAGCAACATGCTAATGGTAAACTCAGAAGTTTACTAATATTTCCTAAATTAAGAATATTTAATAATAGCAGAATATTGTTGCAAAAAACTGTTTAGGCAGGATGTCTGTAAAAGAAAATGGCTGATTTTCTCAGAACTTGACTAAAGTTCACCATCAGAGTCACATTGACATGTTTGATTGAAATCAAATAATTTCAGCTGCTGATATTCACACCCATGAAACTATTTTTTATAGTGCAATAGAAGAAGAAAAAAAGGATGCTTTTCAATGTGTTTCTGATATAATTTAATATCAATAGCATGAGACAACATAAAAGTTAATTTGCATCAGCAGTTAAATCATCAATAAGTAGAAGCATTTCCTTTTAATAGCATTTCTAATAGTTGTTTTTTATGGGGGGGCTCCTCTCGATTAAAAATCACATCTAAAAGAATCCTAGATCACACAGGCCCACAGAAGCCCGCGGCTATTAGGAACAACCATGGTTTAAAAATTAGCATGTGTAAAATAACCCCTCGCGCCCCGCCCCGCGTGCCTCTTTAAAACCACCCTGTCAAAATGGGACATGAACAAAAAACACAGGAGTCCTCCTTCTGGGGTTTTTTGACGTCACATTTTCGGGTGCTTTGTGGTCCCGCCACTTTCCCAATGACGACACGCGAAACGGGGCGCGTGCGTCAATGTCAGGATCACAAAACGCGCTTCGTTTGGTCCGCCATATAATTAGAAAAAAAGGCATTTTTTTTAAGTAGTTACACATAATAGCTATACACTTCCTTAAGTCATATTTTTTGCCTTTAATTTTCTTTATTTTAAGATTTTTTCCTTTAAATTTTAGATTGAGTGCCTCATTCCAGAGGTTATATCTAATTTCATAGTGCCCTAAAGGTATAGTAAAATTATGATTATTTAATGTTTTTCCTTTCTTTTATTACTCTTGTATTTCTTTTTTCAGAAGTCATTTAACATGACAAACAGGTCTTAGATTTCAGTAAAAACATGAATCCAAATTCCTTAGAATCCTTAATTCTCCTTAAATCAAACTCAGAGTCAGATACAATCACAAAAATAAAATCCAATTATTAAGTTTAGATATAAAAAGTCTTCCTGTATGTCAGTATAGATTGGGACAAGATACTTTTCCTGCCCTGAGTCCCATCACCTGCACTGAAGTTTAAGTTGGAAAGATGCTGGAAGCTGCTGCTTGCTGTCAGAAGCTGGAAACAAGGAGGAATCTCGTTAACCCCTCCACCCCACCTACACACCCCTGCTCCCACCTTTTTGTCCACTGCTGCCACCGTCTCTTTGTTTATGTTGTAATGTACATGGCCCATATTTTTTCCTCTCTTTCTTTCCTGAAGGTATTCTGAGAGCCGGTCTCTGTGCTGATTGGGCGCCCAGGTTGGTGAGTGAACGCCCTGCAGATTATGTCAGATTGCGTGCAGAAACCAAACCAGCCCAGCCTTTGAACTTCACCGCTTTTGGCTCGTATTCACGCTCTTCCGCTCATTTCCAAGCCAGGTGCTTGACGACGAACCTCACAGAGAGAGAGAAAGTCGTGACAGAGGAGGGGACGGAAAAAAAAGTAAATGTTATTATTAATCCTGATAATAATAATAAGGCTGGAGACTTTTTTGATGACCCCTGCAAACCGAATGCGGAGCGTCGCTTTCACCTTGGTGGATTTTTTCAACCTGCGCGCATCTTGCATGCGTGTTTTCCTCCACGCCGCAGGTCTGACAGAGTTTTAAGCGGACTGCAGAGATCGCGCTTCAGCGTTTCACTTCAGGAAGAACTGAACGGGCGCTGGATCTTTCTTTACTTTTCCTCTCCGGTTCGTTTTTGATTTTCCCAGGCGCTGAACATCCTGGCATGACCGATACTTGGCATTTACGCAGGTGAATAGCTTCCCTTCCTTCCGAAAGAACTTTTTCCTTGTCGTTACCGCTTGGGATAAAATAAAATAAATAAATAACCCAAACAGGTGAAGTTTGAAGATGTCGAAGCCCGCTGATCACATCAAGAGACCCATGAACGCGTTCATGGTCTGGTCCAGGGGCCAGCGGAGGAAAATGGCTCAGGAGAACCCCAAGATGCACAACTCAGAGATCAGCAAAAGGCTGGGCGCGGAGTGGAAGCTGCTGTCCGAGTCTGAGAAGAGACCGTACATCGATGAGGCCAAGAGGCTGAGGGCGCAACACATGAAGGAGCATCCAGACTACAAGTACCGACCCAGGCGCAAACCCAAAAACCTGCTGAAGAAGGACCGCTACGTCTTCCCCCTGCCTTACCTCGGAGACACCGACCACCTGAAGGGACTGCCCGTGTCGGCCGCTGACTCCCTCCTGGGCTCCTCGGAGAAAGCCCGGGCGTTCCTGCCCCCCACCTCCGCCCCCTACTCTTTCCTCGACCCGAGCCAGTTCAGCTCCAGCGCCATCCAGAAGATGACCCAGGAGATGCCCCACACGTTGAGCACCAGCACTTTGCCCTACGCCTCCTCGCTGGGATACCAGAACGGCGCGTTCGGGACCCTCGGGTGCCCCAGCCAGCACACCCACACCCACCCGTCGCCCACGAACCCGGGCTACGTCGTGCCGTGCAACTGCACGGCCTGGTCGGCGTCAAGTTTACAGCCCCCCGTGGCTTACATACTGTTTCCAGGTATGACCAAGACTGGGATAGACCCCTACTCATCCGCACACGCCACTGCCATGTAACCCCCCCACCTTAAAGACTCTCACCCTGTTTTTAAAGTCATTTGAATACAGAGATGCATGTAAATAAAACAGCGCGGCCCGTTAGAAGGCATGATCGGTGTTATCTGAAGGGACTTCTGGCAACACGAAAAGATGAAAAACTTTAGTAGAAAAATCCAACAAGTTCCTGAGAAGCAAAGGAGCTGCAGTTGGATGTGAAGGACGGAGCGCAGTGAACTGTAAGAAATGTAAATGTTATAACTTTTATGGCAACCAGAAAAAAAAATGGAGGCCTTTAACTTTATTTATTATGTACATTTCAATGATATGCTGATTTGTGTTGATGATTCTGATGTAGGCTACACGTTTTATTTGGAAAGGGGAGAAAAATTTGGCTTTGACAATTACAGTGCAAATACCTGCGTTTGCAGAATAAGTCTACTTTTTTTCTTTCTTTTTGCAATTTTAGGATGTGAATCTGATGATATGATCAACATTCAGACTCATAGGCTGCTTTTTATACGGGTTTAATTGTTTATATTAATCAAAAGTAATAAAAAAAGAAAAAAGCATAAAAGTAGACCGTCTATTTAAGCTTAAAAAAAAAAGAGGGCAAAGCAAAATATTTGGTTTTTACATTTTTCCATGTGGTTCAGTGATAATATAGTCCCTATCATCATTTCAGTTGTTATTCTTTAGTTCATTTTTTTGAATTCTTTTAATTTTTAAGGATATCTTCAAATTGAATTCAAGGAGTTCTATGTGTATTTTCTATCTGAGATGGTACTTTAAAGCTGTCATGTTATGGAAAGGATCCTGTATCTGGTAGGTTGATACCTCCTGCTCTTTGTTCAAGTGCTGAGCAAAGACTTTTTGAATAAAGACAATCTGTCTTCAACCAGATCAATTCCCTGCATCTGTAGATATTAATGATATTTGCTGTTTAAGCAGCTAAAAAAAAAATGATAGATCGGAATAAAAAAATCTAAAACTGTGATTTTATAATATAATATATTGTTTTTGTCATGATTCACAATTAAATCTGGATTAATTTTTGCATTTATTTTAACTTGGATGGGATTTTTGATTAATGGATTTCTAAGTTTAAATTTTTTAAGTTGAAAAGCAAACCAACAAAAAGGAATAAAAAACAGAAACAAATTCTATAAAGTCTAACTAATTATAATATAATCCAGTTTATCAAATGATGTTAAAAGATACAACACAAATATTTTTTAAGATCAAACAATTATTAAAAAAAATAGAATAAAAAGAAGTTTTCCCAGACTGTATCTTAATTTTAGCTAAAATTAAACCTAATTACGGCTCTAAACTTTCATTTAATTGCTGTATTTATCCATAATATTAGCTATAAAATTATATCCATTTTAAACGATCAACACACTGAGTTTAATTTGATTTCCTGAATAAAATCTAACAATATTTTTAGAATCTCGCCTATAATGAACTGGATTTAATCCCGGATATGAACCACCTCCCAAAATGAACAATAATCTTAAAATTAATCCTTTTTTAAATTTGGTTTTCTCTTGTTTCCTCCTCGGATTATTTTCTCAACAGCACCTAAAGTCTTCCGCTTTTACCTGCTTCATTTTATTTTTTTCTTAGTGATGATGACTGATGCTGCTGCAGCAGCAGCGGCTCCGGGCGTGTTGCGCTCTGCAGACGGTGAAGCTATTTTCTGTGACACCGCCTGAGATCAACCGGTTTTCCTTTCTTTCTTTTTTATGTTTTGATGTTTGACAGTTCACAACAAGAGGCCTTCCCCTGGAGGGATTCCGCCCCGTCCGACCCGTTTGACTGCTTAATCACTTCTAGGAGCCGCTTAATTATACCTTTTACTGTTTAGCACAAGCTGAAAGCGATGGGAGTTTTTTTTTTTTTTTTGTTAAGTTTCTTTAAAATCATCTCGGCTTCATGCATCCATTGCTAAATACTCCAGCCTGCAGACTGAATGCCCACTTGTCCGCTTCCGTTGCGGCCGACATGCAGGACATGAGAGGGAATCGAACCCGCATCTTGTTGTTGATGTTTTATTCTTTTGTTGAAATTCAGATGACAGTTGAGCTTTTTCCGAGGCTCATAGTTGCCTCACATTCATAGTGTGGGCATTAATTAAAAGAGGGAAACATGGCGCATTCAAATTATTTACTTATCTGTCAAGAACATATGGCAGAGCGGCCCCCGTTCTGCCCGGGGTGCAATCCAGTCCTGGGGAGGGAGGCGGTGGGAGTATGGTGGTAAGGGGGGGCTGTTTTTTCTTTTTCTTTTCCTGTGACAGACTCAAGCCTTATCTGCAGCTGTAAATTAGGATGATACCTCATTGAACCCAAGTTTTACATCAGCCCCCTGAAGCATCCTAATTCAGCTCAGAATAATTACTTCCAGAGCTGGAGCCGCGCAGTCGGTCAAATCTAGAGGAAAAAAAACGCTTTTGTTTCAGCTCTCAGATTCAATCACCACACCTGTAATTATCCAACTTAGTCACGGGAATTTGACTGCGGTTACAACTCCCTGCAATAAATACCGATAAAAAAGAAAAACGGCATCGGAGAGGAATATAATGGGAGGGAAATTATGATTTGAAATTATAGCAGGGGGGGGGTGCATTTAAATCTCTCCTTCTCTTTACCCCCCCCCCCCTTTTTTTTCCCCCGACGTTTTTATTGCCGCACAACAGAGAGAATTCAATCCTCCTTATCTCTGCAGGACTCCTTTTCAGCGTCAGATCAGAGAGGAGAGAAAAAGGAGAGGATAATTGTTCTTTATTTTATTTCATTTAACGCGACAGCCGCCGCTTTCAGGTCATTTATATGCTTCATTTAGCGATAAAAGTCAATGAGGGAGGGGGGCAGAGGAAGGTGCCCGCTTATTTTTCTTTTTTACACACTTAACTTAAAAAAAGAAAGAATCAGATGGAATAAAATGGTGACTGTGGGAGGTAGGGCGTGTTTAATTAATTTCCATCATTGTGCTTTAATTTAAGCTCCTGAAATCAAAACAGGAAACAAACTTGATGAGATTTTCCTCTAAATCAAATTTTTTTTTAACAAGGGAGATGATGTTGGCAGAGTTTCAGCGCCAGATTAGTCCCAATATATAAGGAAAGGAGGGAGGGGGGGGTCTCATTTCAGCATATTAAATATTGTCTCCGATATAAACCCCCCTTCATAAAAAAAATCATCATGGCCTAAATCCCGCTCTATCTAAAATTGAATCTGGGATACCATTTTGACGGGAAGGAAGGAAAAGTAAAACCGTACAGTGTTGTTTGAAGACAGGGCGGTGTGGGGGGGGGGATTTTTTGGGGGGTCCCTGAATTTTCATTTGAAGGAAATGATGCTGATAAAGAAATAAAATAAAACAGATTGAGTGGAAAAGCAGAGGGAATAATGCCGCAGTTGTTTAAAGCTCCGCATCGGATGAGAAAATATGATTCAGAGTCTTTATTTCTCCTGCTGATGCAGAAAAAAAAAGAAAAATGATCTGATTTCATTTATATTTTGGGGCAATCAGAGGGCATCAGATGTGATGCTTCATCTGCAAACATCTGCAGCCCTCCCCCCCTCCCATCATTTCATGCATCAAAATAGAATCACCTGATTTTTTTTTACAATCACTCTTTTTCAAAAGTTATCAGTGGGAATAAATCCATCCTACGCTGAATCATTTTTCTTAAATAATCAGGTTAGCTACAGAATTTTGTTTAACCAATAATTTTATCAGTGTGTTAGAGAAAGGGGATTTTAAAAGGGAGATGCATCAAAAGGCCAGTTTTTTTTTTTTTAGCTCTAATTGGTGTCTGACTTGTCAAAATTTGGAGATATTATTTAACTTTTCATCAGGTTAACATTCACCAACAACATATAGATTCAAATAGAAAAGGCAGATTATTTAAATAATATCAGTGTTTTTTATTGTTTTTTTTTTAACCTATGTTTTAGATATTTTATTTTATTTAAAAAAGGCTTAAAGTATGTGCCAGATCAAAATATTTGATTTCTATAAGAAATTCTTTTAAGTGATCGTTTTTCAGAATTCCCTTTCCTTTAATCTCTGCTGACCTTTCTTTATGTTTTAATCCTGGAAGACGGAAAGCGTCCAGATTATGAACCACATTCCTTCATTTCTCTGAAGCTTTCATGCATCAGATGTGACTAATATTTTCTTGACACCTTTTCATCAAAATTTTATTAAGATTGATTAACAGTGAAGCACTTTTGGCTACTGATCTCACCCTTTCCAACCTTTTTGGAAATAAAATAAAAGCAATAAAGATGATAAGTGCGTGATTTTTGAAGCTGGACGCAATTTGATTTTTTTTTTTTTATTCTTTCTGATTTGACTCACCTTCACACACAGAACTGAGTCCTGCTGTATTTCTAATGACAGATTAGGAACCATTTATTTTAGCTTTGTCACTTTACAGCATGACTCCTTTGGTTTCAGCACTGCAAAAAATATAATCTTAATAAGTAATTTTTCTTAAAATAAGTTATTTTTTTCTAGAATTTAGGAGGAAAGTGGGACACTTTGCCAATGGAACAAAACAATTTACATTTAAAATAATAATAATAAAAAAAAACAATTGCATTGTCTTATTTCAAGTGCATATTATCCAATTATTATTTACCTGCTTAAATTAAGTGTAAATGCATTTTTTAAACTTATTTCTATATTGTTTTTGCAGTGGGTGATCAGTTGTTTCCATTTTCTCCCATAAAAAAATGGAATATTTTGAGGAAGAATTCAGTTATCTCTCTCTACGTACACAACAAAGTCGTCCTTTTCCTAATTGACATTTTTTGGGCCCATCGTGGATGTCGTGCTCGTCGTGTATTAACTTAACGGTGAATGCTCGGTAATCATCAGACTACCTGCTGCATCAGCTCTCCTTTTTTAATCATGTCTTTGCTTCTTTAACCCAAACAATCCTTTCAGATCATCTCCACCAACAAAAGAAAAAAGGTTCCTCTGCTGTACATCCAGCAGCAGAGAGACAGACTGCTGCTAAGTGTTGAACTGAGAGAAGAATGTAATCACATTGGCAAACGTGTCGTGTTTGGGTACAGCGGTGTGTTTACAGGGTAATTCTGAACTGGTTGGAGT